TCAGGAAAGGCACCCGCGCGTTCACGGAGCAGACAAAGGATCGGGCTGCGTCACATCAAGCGAATGGGCACATGAAAAGGTGTCTAAGTGGCCCGCATGGGAGAGGCGCGGCGCTGTCGGCGCAGGAGAGCGCCGACTGGCGTTCGCACCGGGGCCCTGGAGAAGCGACTGCCGCCGAGAGTCTACAGACAGCCAGAACGGCCATGATGCCAGAGGTAGTTGGATTGGCGCTGCGTCTGCGCGCGCAAGGGGATCGCGCGCCCGTCGCAGTATCTTGGACGCTGGAGGCGGGCAGAGGTGACAGGTTCAGGGAAGTGTGGATCGCGTCGAAGAGTCACTTGCACTTGTGCGGCATGCGCCCCGTGGGCGACTCAGGAGCACCTGAGCTAGCATATCTGTTTCTGTGAAAATTAACGCTGGCGCGTGGAACTTGCGGCCTTTCCCCAAAGCGAGGGAGAGCTTTCAGCGGCTGCCAGCGACGAGTACCAGGCGACGTTGATGGCTTCAGGCGCGCAGAAGGTGCGCGAGGCAGAACGCGAGAAAGAGAAGGGCAGCGAAGGGGGCCCGCAGTTGGTGGCGCAGTTGAAAGCGGGCGCGGGCTACGTTGTGATGGAAAGGGGGCGCGAGGCGCGGGCGCCGTCCCCTTGTGCGCCTGGGATGGGAGCTCTCCGGCGCACGTGAGCATCGGCTCGGAACGAGCACGCTAGAAATTCATGTTTCTACGGGGCGCCGTAACCGAAGTACAGGGTTGTACAAGAAGACGGGAGTGGGCTGCAATTGATTGCGTGCTTTCGGGCTGTCGCGCTTCGAGACGACGTGTGCTGCGGAGTGCGGCATTTGTGTGACTTGCGCGGGCCGCGCGGAGGCGCCGCTGGAATGGTCGAGGGGTGGGCTTCTGTGGGAAGAAACGAAAAGGTTCGTTCAGAGTTGCATGAGCGTGGTAGGCTTGCGACCCGCGACAGATGCAGACGTTGTCAAACACGGAAGCGAGCTGCGCATCGATGAATCGACGAAGAACTTGACTGAGGCGGAAGACTCACGTCGGCGGCGCACCCACGGGGAAAGACGACAGGCGGACGAACGTTGCGATGGAAGTCGAGAAGGACCGGGCGCGGGCAGCGATGGCTGGTTGAAACGCCGTGCCAGGCGAGGGCGCGAGCAGGAAGGGCCGGATACATGAAGAAGAGCGCGTTGAAATGGGGCGACGAAGCAGTGGAATACGCGCGACCAGTGGCCGCCGCGTCGAAAACGCAGGAAGGAAGCGTCGGAGGGGCAGCGGTGGGAGACCCGGTCGTGGCGACAGGGGAGAAAGAAGGCAACGGCCTCGAGCGCGCGGAAGTGGCGGAGAGGCCTTGCGCGTGGAGACTTGAACGCGGGGCAACGCAGCGCAGTGGGAAAAGTATCAGATCGTGCACCTGCGCAGGAATTCGCGTCGGACGCGCAGGGCGAGCCGGCGACGGGCATGAGTTCCGCCGTGGAGAGGATTCGCATATATCTGTTTGAGCCAGAGATGGGCTTGACTCACGGCATTGACTTGCAGGTGAAAGTGCTGCCACCGAGCGGCGCCTCAGCTCTGGGCGGAGACGACGTCCGCGGTGCAATGGCATGGGCTTGAACGACACCGACGGGCATAGTAATTCAGATAACGGTGACGCAGAGACGAGGAAGGATACGAAGAAGGAAGATAATGCTCAGCGAATGTCGCAGTGGAAGTGGCTGGTCATAGGCGAGATCAGCATGGTGGTCGCAAGCTTGCTGGTTGAGCTGGATCCGCACTTGCGGCCTTGCATGTCAGCGGCAAGTGCGACGAACGTCGGAGTGGGCGGAGTGGACAGACCGCTCGGGAGCGTGAGCGTGTTGTTCTGCTGAGACTTCCATCAGCTCCAGTCGCCGCCCAGAAGAGCAATCAATGCGCTGCCCACGTCACATTCGAAAGATGAAGGAAAGATGCACGCGCCAGGGTCCGCAGAGGACCACTCGCAGCACGTGTTCTGGCGCGCCGGAGACACAGGGGCAGTTCAGAGGATGACGGACCAAGACGATTAGATTTTCGGCGTGCAAGACGGGCTTCGGCGAGGGGCGCTGACCGAACGCGCGCGCAATTTCTCGCATAGCAGGGCAGCGGGCGCGCCAGTTTCGCGGGCGAACGGCGCAGCGCAGCGCGGAGACGCGCGCCGTCGGGACAACGCAGAGGCGATTGCCAAACAGAAGCCGCTCGAGCGCAGGGCTTGCGCAGGAGAGCGAAAGGACATAACGCATGTTGCGACGCCGCCAGAGGGCGCGCGATTTCGGGAGGAGGCATTTGCCGAGGATGTCAATCAGGACATCTGGTGCCTCGTCGGGAAGTCGAGGGCTGCGCTGTGGGCGAAGGAGCAAGGAGGGCAGCTGCTGTGGGTCGCAGCAGGAGATCGCTTGTGCCCTAGAGTGGAGCAAAGGAGGCCGCGCACGGTGGAGGACCACATGCGGTGTCTGGGGTGCCGCGACAAGGAGTGCGCGAGTTTGCCCGGGCTCCTTCCGCTTGCGAAGGGCGTGCCAGTTGCTTCGGGGGACCATCTCGGCTCGTCAAAGAAACAGGTCCTGCGGGAGCGTGCGTCGACACTTCATGGTTGGGTTCTTCACGAGGACGAGGTCGCGGGGATGAGGGCGAGGAGGCACTGCTGCATTTGCCGAGAGTAGTTAAGTGCGTTATACTTTCAGGGCTCTATCCGATCTTCCTGTCGAACGGGCGCCAGTGCCACTTGGGCAGGCATGGGGAGTTATCCGCGTTGAGTGCGAAGTCATGATCGCGCCGTTGTTGGCAGTGATGGCGCGCGCCGCGCAAGGCCAGATTACGGGCGCAGTGATTGCGGGCCTTGAGCGAGGGCGCGGCGTCGGTTGGGCGCCCAGATCCGCGGCCATCGCGCGCGCGGCGGCGAGAGCACCTTTTCTTTTCACGGGGGGCCGCGCTGAGCAGGCGAGATGGCGGGCGCGAAAAAGCTGTTGCAGATTCCCCGAGGGGAGGGCGTGGACTCGGAAGAGTGGGGGGCGCAGCTGGCGCCACGAGACGATCGCGGGCGGCGCCCGCGCAGGCAGCTTGTAGAGGCACTCCCGAAGTATGAGTTCCAGAGGAAGGAGAGGCCGGCATCTTGCAGATAATGCGCGGTGGAAATGGATATCGCAATGGGAAATTGTGCACGACGCGCAGCGCGTGACCGACGGGAGCCGAAGTCGGCGAGAGAGTTTCGCAGGTCGGCGACCGCGGGGGCGGCGCCTGCGGCCTGGGAAGGGCGCGCGGAGGCGAGCGAGAAGGACGAAGTATTGCGCGAATTGCGCGGACATGAAGGCTCGGCAGAAGTCGCGAGTTGGGGCCGCGAGTTGGGGGGAAGCCACGGAGAGGGTGCGATGTTCGACCGTGAAGTGTCCGGCGCTATTCGGTGATTCAGCCGAAGTATCGAGGCGCCAGAAAGAGGCCAAGCGCAGCAGAACAATATTGTGCAAGACATGTGCGGAGGAAAAGGATAAAGCGGCGCGGAGAGCGAATGCCGCAGCGGCGAAACGCGAGATAAAAGCAGAGGCGGTAGCGAAGCCGCTGACGCGTTGCGTGCCGGGTTGCTGGGCAACTTTCTGGGGCGCGGAGCATTTGAAGCCTGAGCAGGTGAAGGGGCATCGAAAAGAGAGGAGCATTAGAGTGGTCGGTGGAGAGTATGACAAGCGGGGCGCCACCGCGAAAGGAGTAGCCGGCGCGGCGAAGCGTTGGAAACGACAGATGAAGCGCGCAGCGTACGAGAAGAACTGTCCTCAGCAGGACCGCGTCAGTGACAGACAAGAGGTTCAGCACTTCACTCGGAAGAGCAAAGTTGTACACGCGGATTGCATTGCCGCCAGCTGCATGGCGCGCAATTGGCAAACGCACGAGTGCTTCGGCGCCTGCAAGAGGAAGTTTCCGAAATCTCCGTTCGCGGTTGGAGGCAAGCGCGCGCCCGCCAGCACCGCGCTGAAATGCAAGGCGCGCGCGAGACCCGCGGAAACGCCCGTGGCAGTTCACGAATGCCCAAAGCTGCACGGGGGAAGAAATGGAGGACGATGGGGGCTATGTAGATGGAGGACGAGAACGAGGACCAGGAGGACAAGCAGTAGGCGAAGGAGGAGGAGGAACGCAAGCAGGAGGAGGAGGAGGAGGAGGAGGAGGAGGAGGAGGAGGAGGAGGAGGAGGAGGGGGAGGAAAAGCAGGAAGAAGAGGAGGAAAAAAGAGGATCTCGTCTTGGGTCCTCAACTCCAGCCTCCGACGGCCATCCGGGACGACTCGGGCACCCCAGGAACGCACGTTGCCACCCCGAAAGTGGAGACCCCGTGTGGGCTCCCAGATTGTGAAAACAAATCAGGGCAGTCGGTCCATCCTGGCACGGATGTGGGTCACATGCCCTCTTGAGCTGACTTGCAGCCCTCTTGGTGGGCTCTTCGGGCTCTCTTGGGAACCTCTGGGGTTGGCTTGGACGAAGCGAAACTCAAACAAGCGGATATGTTAAAACTATACGTTGCCCTGGGGAAATGTGACGAATTGTGATTCTGCGGGCCTTCCTGGAACATTTTTTGGAGGCCTCCTGGGGCGTGTGGAAGCCATCTTGGACGTCTTGGGGCGATCTTTCGGTGACTCAGGGCTCTCTTGGACCGTCATTGGGGCTACTTGGGAAGCCCCTGGGGCTGTATGAGAACTCCAGAGCGAGCCTGGCAAAGGCCGGACCCCCCCTGGTGAGTTCGGGAGTGGTCCGTCTTAGGCCCGGGAGGGGGGGAGTCAAATTGATGGTTTTGGGGCCCCGGGGGGGGATTCTGGAGGAGGAAAAAATTCACACGCCTAAAGACAGACCCCAATGGGTCGCGGCTTTCACAGCGTCCTGGACGGCCCAAGAGGCTCCCAAGATGGCCCAGAAGGCCCCCATCCGTAGACATTTTGGCTCAAGCCAGTTGTGAGTTGTGTTCAAGAGCAGCATTTATTTTTCGGTTGCAGCACGCGCGGGGCCCAGATCATGGCCATGCCGAGTGACGTCTTCGTCACAGCGCCCACGAAGCAGGGTCTCGGGGACGTGGCGACAAGGGACACGGTCATCGAGTTGTGCGAAGACAAGCGCCAGGGCTCACGCAGTCTTTCCTGGTCCAGCAGCGAGCCCTGCAGCGAGTCTTCTTCCAGCAACAGCGCGTTCTCCGACGCCGACCGCGTCAGCACTACTTGGGTATCGACGCACGTGGGAGAGGCTTGGGCATCGAACGACCAGGAGGAGACCACGAGTTACAGCCTCGACAAGTGGCGTTTGTCCGCCGCCGCGGAGGCAATCGACGATGTCCCCGAGCAGCTGGGCCGAGTGGTGCAGAACAAGGCTAAGAGCCTTGCCGAGAGCGTGAAGACCGAGCTGGCCTTGGTGCAACAGGCCATTCGCAGCAGGGGTGGGGGCGAGGATGGCGTCGATGCGGCCATCGATCATCTGGGCAAAATCCCAGAGATCATCAGGAGGTCGTTTCACTCGAAGGTCATGGAGGCGAACGACGCGATGCGGCTGGCGATGCAGCTGAAGCGGAGCGCCATCGTGCAGATGCTCAAGACCACCACCCCTGATGGCCAAGAGCTGGTGAGGCGATTGTGGACCATTCCCGAGAAGCTGGAGCAGATCGTTGGGCAGGCGGTTGGCCAGGCCGTGGAAGAGTCCCAGCTGGAGGCTACCGGGCATTGCGAGCGCGTGTTGATGAGCCTGCCGCCGGACGCGGGTGCGTGTCGCCACACCTTGATAGACGCCGAACTACGCATCGCGGAGGCGGTGACCGAAATGTACTCCGAGACGATGCGGGCCCTGAGGCGCACGGCCAATGCGAACGTGAGGCTCGCCGTGACCTACGTGCAAGACCCATGAAGGCAATTCATGATGTGTTGACTCCCGCGCCAACGCTTGACTGCGCAATTTACGAGGCACGTCAGTCATTTGTTGGCGCGCTGGCCTTTCAGAGCCCTCATCGTCAATGCGGGAGGGGAATGGGGGCATGCGGTCCGCTGCTGCGCCCGAATACCTAGAATTGTGGAGCGCGAGGTCTCTGCCATGCCATGGTAGATGCCATGCCATGCCATGCCATGGCCAGGCCGAGGGGAGTCGCCAAGCCTTCCCACATCAGGATCATTTGATGTGTCGCCGCGTGTTTTTTCGCTCCAGGGGATCGCAGGTACCCCAGACGAATGACGTTCATATGGAAAACACGCAGCGCCCGCTGCCAGTGACCCAGTTGTTCTTTTTGCGGCCATTGCGTGGCTTCGACGCGGCGCCCTGTTTGCTTCAGATACTGCGTCTTCGCTCCTCGTCGTATCGCGGTCCAGTGCCACCAGTGGTTTTACGCTTCTGGTGGCTGTGGTCTTTCACGAAGTGCGTCGGGGCAGTTGGATGTGGAACAGCGCGGCATCTACAGCGCGTGAGGACTCCAAGCAGTGGGTTCTCACCAGTTATGTGTGCACTCGATGTGGCGCCATCTAGAGCTAGCTGATAAACTCTTTTGCGGTGCAATTCACATGTCAATGTTGAAGCCGTCACCTCCAATACTCGTGCAAACAACCCACCCGCCACCCCCCCTCCCCGCAACTTGCTGTCAAACCTGTATCCAGAGGAGCGGCAGCAGTGGGGGGGCGGGCTCTGAAGAGAGGAGGAGTTGCCTTGGGAGTACGGGCCCACTTCCAGCGCACACGAGGAAGTGCAAGCCGAGCGCTCAGGGCGGCGGCGCAAGACACGATTTGGGGAGCAAGGTGTCCCCACAGTGCCCTGGACGGCGCTTTCCCTGCCCAGCGACAGCCCACACCAGCACCTTGGCAGGCTCGCAGGTGAGCTCCGCTTGCGCACAGCTCAGCATGCTGATATTCGGAAGCTGGTGGCTCTTTCTCCTCCCTCTTGTTCCTTCCTCCCTCCTTCTGCCTCCTCCCCGTCTTTCCCCTGCCTTCACATTTGAGTGCTCAGCAGCGGAGGTCTATCAGCGCGTCAATCGGTGTGCCCCTCGCGCCAAGGCGTGTCAGGCTGGCAGGCTGAGTTGTGGGTGACGTCCGCCTGCAAATAGCCCAACAATCTTTATTCATATTCAGGACGTGTTTCTCCTCCCCCCCGCCACACACCTCACAGTGGTTTTTCGTGGGCACGGTATGCTTTCGGCATGGCGTGCGAAGCAGCTGGCAGCAAAGACGCCCTACGCCAGATATGGCAGCAAGGCGGGCTGGCATGGCGCATCCGCGCAACACGCTTCAGCAATCTTTATTCATATTCATGACGTGTTTCTCCTCCCCCCACACTCCTCACAGTGGATGTTCTTGGACACGTTGTGCTTTCGGCATGGCGTGCGAAGCAGCTGGCAGCAAAGACGCCCTACGCCAGACATGGCAGCAAGGCGGGCTGGCATGGCGCATCCGCGCAACACGCTTCAGCTTGCAGTCATTAACGACTGCAGCTCCTCCTTCTCCTCCACCCCTCCTCTTCCTCCTCGTGGTGCCATTGTAACGTACAGTGTCTGCTGCATGGAGCGCCTTCCAGGAAGGCAACCACACCTTGCTGTACCGATTCCTTCCAATCCACCTATGACGAAGACGTAGATGGCGCTCTTGCTCTCCACTTCTCGCATCCGTGTTCTCCTCGCTGTTGTGTCTGATTGTCTAGCATACCTATCGCGCACGGGCGTGTCAGATTGCCAAGCCGACTTGCAGTTGAATTCCGCAGGAGCTAGTATCCAGTCAGTAGTTGGTGGCTCTTTCTTGCCCCGGCTTCTCACTTTCCCACAGCGGCCGCATCGCGTGCAACAAAAAGACGGTCCAGGAGGCCCCCAAGAGAGCTCCAGGACGGTCCAAGACGGGCCCAGGATGGCCCAGGAGGCCCCCCAGATGGCCCAAGAGAGCCCCAAGACAGGCCCAAAAGGGGTCCCAGAGGGTGAAAACCAAGTTCAAATTTAGAGTTGGCCCAGGAGGCCCGAAGAAGCCCCCAAGAGGCCCAAAGAGGCCCCCAGAGGCCCCAAGAGGCTCCCAAAAGCCACCTAAGAGTCCCCCAATAAGCCCCTAAGAGGCCCCAAACTTGTTTCGATCTGCCCCCGGGAGGCCTCCACGATGCTTCCACAGCGCCCCCAAAGAGGCTCCAAACATTGCCTCCAAGATACCTCCAACACGCTTACATCTCCTACTGGTTGCCCCATAGGTTGCGCCCTTGGCCGCCGAGAATAACCGTCTCCTATTGGTTGCGCCATAGGTTACGCCCTCGGCCTCCGAGAATTACACCGTCTCCCATTGGTTGCGCCATAGTTTGCGCCCTCGCCCGCCCAGAATGAAATCTTCTCCCAGTGGTTGCGCCATAGGTTGCGCCCTCGGCCGCCGAAAACAAGTGGCACGCGTGCTCTGGCTCTTGCATATACGAGGAGAGAAAGAGAAGGAGACGCAGATGGGGGGATCGAGGAAACAAGGAGGAGGAGGAGGAGATGGAGGAGATGGAGGAGGAGGAGGAGGAGGAGGAGGAGGAGGAGGAGGAGGAGGAGGAGTGGGCTGGGTCCAGGGCCAAGGCCAGGGGTACGACGACGAGCGAAAATGAAGGGTCCAGGGAGAGGGGGGCTGGGGCCAGGGCCAGGGGAGGACGCTGGGTCCAAGGACAGGACCAGGGTGGCGACGACGAGGGGGTCGTGGGTCGAGGACCAGGGCGAAGACTGGGTTGAGGGCCAGGACCAGGGGGACGACGACAAACGAAAATAAAGGGTTCGGGGCGAGCGGGGCTGGAGCCGGGGCCAGGTGAGGAGGCTAGGTCTGGGGCCAGGTGCCGTGCCGAAATAAAGCGGTCGGCGCGGAGGTGGCGCGTTGGCTGTTGGGGCCGGCGCCGTGCCAAAATCAAGCCGTCGGGGCGGAGGGGGTGCGCTGGCTGGTGGGGCCGGCGCCGAGGGGGCACTCTGGCTGGCGGGCTGGCTGCGCTGGCTGCTTCGGCATGGCTGCTTCGGCATGGCTGCTTCGGAAGGATGTGGAGGGCCGGGGGGCTGCTTCGGCATGGCTGCTTTAGAACGTGGATGCGGAGGGGGCGCGCTGTGAGGCGCGGGCCGAGGGGCTGCATCGACCGGTGCCGTGCCGAAATAAAGTCGTCGGAGCTCTTAGACACCCTGTGCAAGAGAATGAAGGAGTCGGGGCGGAGGGAGCGCGCTGGCTGGTGTTTGGGGGGGATGCGGAGGGGGCGCGCGGGATGGGGGAGGAGGGTGCCGTGCCGAAATGAAAGGGTTGGGGCGGAGGAGGCGCGCTGGCTGGTGGGAGTGACGCGGAGGGGGCGCGTGGGATGGGGGGGCGACGTGCCGAAATAAAAGGGTCGGGGCGGAGGGGGCGCGCTGGCTGGCGGGTGGTGGGATGGTGGTGTGGGTGCGGGGAGAGGGGTGGGAGTGCCGTGCCGAAACGAAAAGGATCGGGGCGGAGGGGCGCGCTGGGGTGGGAGGGCGCGGGGGGGGCGGCAGCGGAGGTATGGGGGGGGGGTGCCGTGCCGAAATAAAAGGGGCCGGGGCGGAATGGTCGCGCTGGCTGGTGGGGTGGGGGGGGCTGCGGAGGGAAGTGTGGGTGCCGAAAAATCAAAGGGGTCGTGTGGTGGGGGGCGGGGGGTGCGCCGTGCCGAAATAAAGGGGTCGGGGTGGAGGGGCGCGCTGGCTCGTGGGCGGGTGTCGGGGCGGAGGCGGTGTGCCGTGCCGAAGTACAGGGGTCGGTGCGGAAGGAGGGCGCGCGGGGGGGGGGACGTGCCGAAATAAAAAGGGTCGGGGCGGACGGGTCGGAGGGTGTGCGCTGGCTGGTGGGGGGGGGGGTGATGCAGGGGGGGTTGCCGTGTCGAAATACAACGGTCGGGCGGGGGAGCCAAGCTTGCAGTTGTTAAAGAACGCGCGGCGCTGAGGCCCCGTGGGTGGGGGGGAATGCGGAGGGGGTTTGTGTGCCGTTCCGCACTTATAGAGTCGGGCAAGGGGTAAAATGCCCGTGCGAATAAAAGGGTCGGGGCGAGGGGCGCGCCTGTGCCTGGTGGGTGTGGGGATGCGGGAGGGGGGAGGGGGCGTGGTTGCCGAAATGAAATGGGTCGGGGGGGCGGGGGTGCGCGCTGGGCTTGGTGAGTGTGGGGATGTGGAGGGGGTGTGGCCGTGCCGAAATCAGGAGTCGGTCGTCCCGGGGTCGGGTGGTGATTCGGGGGGGGGGGCGGAGGGGTGGCGCCGCGCCAAAGGGGCGCCGAAATAAAAAAGGGGTCGGGGCGGAGGGGCGCGCTGGCTGGTGGGTGGGGGGATGCGGAGGCGGTGTGCCGTGCCGAAACACAAGGGTCGGGGCGGGGGGCTGTGCCGTACCGAAATAAAGGGGTCGGGGCGGAGGGGCGCGCTAGCTGGTGGGGGGGGGATGCGGAGGAGGTGTGCCGTGCCGGAAGAAAGGGGTTGGGTCGGAGGGGTGTGCCGTGCCGGAAAAAAAAGGGGTCGGGGCGGAGGGGCGCGCTGGCCTCTTGTCGGCGGGGGGGGGATGCGGAGGCGGTGTGCCGTGCCGAAATGAAAGGGGTCGGGGCGGAGGGGTGTGCCGTGCCGAAATAACAGGGGTCGGGTCGGAGGGGCGCGCTGGCTGTTGGGTCGGGGGATGCGGAGGCGGTGTGCCGTGCCGAAATACAAGGACCGGGGCGGAGGGGTGCGCCGTGCCGAAATTAAGGGGTCGGGGCGGAGGGGCGCGCTGGCTGTTGGGTGGGGGGGATGCGGAGGGGGCGTGCTGTGCCGAAATGAAAGGGGTCGTGGCGGAGGGGTGTGCCGTGCCGAAATAAAGGGGTCTGGTCGGAGGGGCGCGCTGGCTGGTGGGTGGGGGGGATGCGGAGGGGGCGTTGAGGGGGAATGCCGTGCCGAAATACAGGGGTCGGGGCGGAGGGGTGTGCCGTGCCGAGATAGAAGGGGTCGGGGCGGAGGGGCGTGCTGGCTGGTGGAATATGTGGGTGATGGAGGGGGTGCCGTGCCGAAATACAGTGGTCGGAGCTCTAGACACCCTGTGCAAGAGAATAAAACCATCGCCTATTGGTTGCACCATAGTTTGCGCCCTCCGCCGCCGAGACTCAAACCGTCTCCTAGTGGTTGCGCGAAAGATTGCGCCCTCGGCCGCCGAAAATAACACCGTCGCGTAACGGGTGCGACCAGTCAGCTCAGTTCAGGTCCGTTTGTCGAGTTTAACCTCGCGAGAAGCCAATTCGGGCAACTCCCGAAAATCTAATTATACGTCGTCGAAAGAGAATGGGTTGATGTTTGATTCTGGGGGCCTTCGTGAAACACTGCGTTGAGGGCCCATGGGGCGTCTGGAAGTCATCTTGGACGTTTTGGGGCGACCGTTCGCTGTTTGGGGGCTCTAGAGCGGGCCTGGGGAGGGCCGGATCCCCCCCTGGTGAGTTCGGGAGGCGGACCGTCCCAGGCCCGGGAGGGGGGGGGGTCAAATTGCCGGTTCGGGGGCCCCGGGGGAAGGGGGGTTATGGAGGGGGAGGATAATAGGCGGGGGGGGGGGATAATAGGGGGGGATAATAGGGGGGGGGAAGAAACTCACACGCCCAGAGACTCTAAAGGGGTCGGCGGATTCGCCTTTTCGGCTTTCGCAGCGTCCGGGACGGCCCAGGAGGCTCCCAAGACGGCCCGGGAGGCCCCCATCCGAGAAATTTTGGCTCAAGCCAGTTGTGCTCAAGAGCAGGATTTCGTTCGCGGCTGCAGCACGCGCGGGGCCCAGACGATGGCCATGCCGAGTGACGTCTTCGCCACAGCGCCCACGAAGCAGGGTCTCGGGGACGTGGCCACAAGGGACACGTTCATCGAGTTGTGCGACGACGAGCGCCAGGGCTCACGCAGTCTTTCCTGGTCCAGCAGCGAGCCGTGCAGCGAGTCTTCTTCCAGCGGCAGCGCGTTCTCCGACGCCGACCGCGTCAGCACGGCTTGGGTATCGACGCGCGTGGGAGAGGCCTGGGCATCGAACGGCCAGGAGGAGACCACGAGCTACAGCCTCGAGAAGTGGCGCTTGTCCGCCGCCGCGGAGGCAATCGACGATGTCCCCGAGCAGCTGGGCCGAGTGGTGCAGAACAAGGCTAAGAGCCTTGCCGAGAGCGTGAAGACCGAGCTGGCCTTGGTGCAACAGGCCATTCGCAGCAGGGGTGGGGGCGAGGATGGCGTCGATGCGGCCATCGATCATGTGGGCAAAATCCCAGAGATCATCAGGAGGTCGTTTCAGTCGAAGGTCATGGAGGCGAACGGCGAGATGCGACTGGCGATGCAGCTGAAGCGGAGCGCCATCGTGCAGATGCTCAAGACCACTACCCCTGATGGCCAAGAGCTGGTGAGGCGATTGTGGACCATTCCCGAGAAGCTGGAGCAGATCGTTGGGCAGGCGGTTGGCCAGGCCGTGGAAGAGTCCCAGCTGGAGATTACCAGGCGTTGCGAGCGCGTGTTGATGAGCCTGCCGCCGGACGCGGGTGTGTGTCGCCATGCCTTGATAGACGCCGAACTGCGCATCGCGGAGGCGGTGACCGAAATGTACTCCGAGACGATGCGGGCCCTGAGGCGCACGGCCAATGCGAACGTGAGGCTCGCCGTGACCTACG